CATGGGTAGCAGCAGCAGGCGGCGAGGGGGGAGCCATGCATCGGACGGTCCGGGACCAGGGGGGACGCTCTGGGGCCGGGGTGGGAGAATGCACAGGGAGGTTGGTGGGGAGGTTTGGGGCCCACTCCAGGCAGAGCCGGGGGAGAGACCCAGGTCCACATATTGGTGGAACAGGGCCCCTGGCTCTGAATTGTAATGCTGGACAGCACTTCCAGGTTCAGGGGCGTGGGGCCCCCTTAGGCTCGGGGCCCGATTCAACCGAATCGGCCTAAGGCTGGCCCTGATGGTTGGAATGGAATTGTGTATTTTAACTAATTTCGCTGTAGTGGGGTCACAAACTATGTTAATCCTAAATGTAGGAATTGTAAACTATGACCACCAGCACTTGCAGGAGAGACACTGTCATTGTAAAGAGTCTCGGATGGAGAAGAAGCCTTCCCCTTACAGATTCAAGTAGACTAAATTGAAGGGAAGGAGCTTGAACCAGCCAGCTACATGCCCTCGAGGCATGAGCTGTAAGACTGGTTCAACCTGTTTCCTTCCCTCCTCTCCCTCCCATTCTAAAGATAGACTTAAATAGACTCCATAAGGAGTCTCTTTATTATTTTGAAATATTATTCCAGTGGAAGCTGGAATCTTTTGGCCAGCCTAGGTGGTTGGCCAAGAGCTGAAATCACAGAGAAACTGACAAAGAGCTGAAATCACTAGGATTGGCCCAGAGCCAGACCCACCATGGAAGCTGCAGCTGGTGGCCAGCAGGGTGGATGGCAGGAGCAAGCAGCCAGTGGGGCAGCTGGCAGGAGCCAACAGCCAGGAGGCAGCTGGCAGGAGTAGCAGCAGGTGGCCAACAAAGCGTCCAGCAGGTGGCTGGTAGGAGCAGCCGGTGAGCATCTGGTAGCAGCAGTGGCGGGTGGCTGGCAGCAGCAGGTGGCCAGTGGGGCGGCTGGCAGGAGCAGGCGGCCGGCAGACGGGAGCAGCAGGCGGGTGGCCAATGGAGTAGTGAGATGCTCTCATCCACACCTCCCCCAAGGGTGGGACGTGAACTCTGAAAATCACCTCTGAGCTCTGGTCTGCCCTAACCAAGGGCAGCAACTGTGACTGGGGTATGGAGAAAGGCTGGGTATGTGAATGGGACACTTACATTGCTGGACTTGTGAGCCTGAGAGGCAAAGGACATTGCTCAATCCATTTGAGCTGGGACATTTACTCGTGATTTGGTTATGAACTCTGTTTGTAGTGTTTTCCCAAGCTAATGCCATGTTACTTCTCTTCTTTCATTAAATGTTTCTTTTCTGTGCTCAGACTCAGTGCTTGCGAGTGGGGAAGCATTGCCGCTCGGAGGCACCCAGGCTACTGGGTGGAGGCTTGAGCCAGTTCTGCATGAAATGGATGAAAGGAACTTATTGAATGCGGCCCTGGCTGCTGCTGGTGCTACCTGGCAGAAAGTTTACAGATGCAATCCTATTTATTTACAGAGAATGTACATAAAGTTCTGTTACCCTGAACACAATGGGAATCAAAAATGAGAATTTCTTTGCTCACAATTCAAAACCTCTTTTCAGCACTTTTCTCATTCAGCTCTCTTTCAGCATAATTCTACATATATTTCTGTCTGGTTGTCAGATTTCTTTGCTGCCTTGTCTGGGTGCTTCTGTGGTATTTTTGCTGCTTCTTTGTCTCGCACAGCTGCAATCAAATTAATCCCCTGCCCCTTCATTTATCAGACCTCCAGAAAGCCCCCTAATGACCCAGCCATTGGCTTAGCTTGCATGCAGTCTATTCCTGGGGTGATGGTTTTTAATTGTTTTAGTTATCACTAAACAAAAGGACATTTAATTGTTCCTTAGTGTAGCCTTAATGGAAGTTCAGCTTCTATGTCCAATAGCGTCAATGAAGTGGTGAAATTGACCAATTCTAATATAACAACATTAAGTATCTGAGGGACTTTTCATATGACTTCTTACACGTTGAAGTCACAAAGAATCCCATTGACTTCACAGAGACTGGGAGGTAAATTAGAGCCCTTTTTCAGATTCATTTAATTTTCATATTTAATATTCTTCCTTAATTAACCTATATCCCTGGCCCCTTCTTGTAGCATTTCCAACTGCAGGTCATTTATTTGCTTTGTTTCCCTGTAATGGGAATCCCTATGGTTTATATTTATGCAGCAGACAATCTAGGTATTTCTAAAACAGCCACAGGATTAATTTTTAAAATTTGTATTTTTTGTTCATCATCATAAAGCATTTAAATCACTTGATGAATGCTAGATAAATTAATAATATAACCACAATGGCACTATGTATTTTGATATGCACATATTAAAAAAAACTAATGAGAATAGTTGCTCACCTTCCAAAATCCACACGGGTAAAATCCAGAAGGAGAGATGCACCCTAATGTCTGATAACTTCATCATCTCTCCAGCAGACTTATTTCGTCACTTTCAACTCAGCTATCCTCACCAAAGATAAATGGCCATATTTTCAGGAGTGTTCCACACCAAACATGCTGAGTTCTTTTGAAAATCTGGTCAACACTTTTAGTGACTAACTGCGAGCTGAGCTTTCTGTCCATTATTCTCTGGAAAAGATAGAAAAAAATTGTTTGAGTCCCATGCATGTAAGGAAAGGGAAATTTTAAACACTGCTTATTAAATAAATGGAGGTTCCACCTTCTCCTTGGAATCAATTTAATTCAGATTAGAAATATAATAAATTGGATGCCAAACTCTGAATGCTCAAAATAAAATTAAAACATTATTTTGGCTGACAGGAACTACCCATTTTAAAAATTTGAGACTGAACAGTAATATTTGGTAACAGTGACTGAAAACTGGGGGTGAGGGGCAAACCCCTCTTGGGTGCTGGAGAGCTGTAGAAGGCCCTGATAACAATGAAACAGTGGGATGCTACTACAAGGGAAGGGCCAGGATGTTGAGAGATAGTACAAAGGGACTGAACACCCCTTTACATATTGTGGAACAGAGTTTCATGGTAACCTCTTCAGTATCTCAAGTAGGAATTTGGGGATGCAGCCAGTGGGTCCTCAAGTATATGGTTTCTTGGCCAAAACCTGCATATAGAGGCTGCACAGTGGGTTACCATAGCAAATTCTATGTAAATTTCCCTTTTATGGTCATAATTAGGGACCAAGATTTCGCCTCATCTCATCTTTAACCAAAAGGGTTATAGTGGAGTAAGAGCCTTGCATTTAGCCTATGAAACTTTTAAACTGGGATTTTTTTCCCCAGTGCCTAAGGGAGTTAAGGTCTAAAATCACATTGGAGTTCAATGGCAATGAAGTGCCCAACTTTCTTTGATAACCTCTGAAAAAATCACAGTCTAAAGTATTTGGAGTTATGATTACCCGAGAGATGACCTCTTTCCCCTTTTAGTATCATAATTATGGAAATCAGTTAAGGTTCTTGCTCTAATAACCTCTGGGTTTAAACAGGAAAGATTTGGAGGCATGGTGTTCCTATTGAAGGATTCCTGGTACTGAAATTTGCTCTATGTACCAGAACCCAAATTTATTGAGATTTTGATTTTATGCAAAGCTCATCTTTTATCCCAGACTTTTTTTCTGGGAATATAGACTGAGTAGATTGAACAGGATGGAAGAAGATTCCTGAAGAATTTGAGGTTAGTAGGATCTCTGATTATAAACCCTTGTCCTGATTTGTTACACTATTTCATTGATATGGACCAATGCGCCAAGCTGGAGCTAGACATGTTTGAAAACAAACTGAAATAAATATATGGAATGCTGCTAATATGCCATATAACTTCTTCCCCTGTTTATATTTGTTTAATTTAGAAGAGGAATAGTGGGAGATGAAGAAGGCATTTCCTGGCAGTTGATGTTCAAGGTAAAGGGTGACCTACTAGACATCAGCTACCAGGAAATGCTCTTCCCAGATGTTATTATTATTTAATCATTGCTAACAGAGATCATATTTCAAGCACTCAGCCAGTCTTTTACCACTATCCCTGTGTCTGGCTGTGATGTAATCAATGCTCCTTCTATTCTTCACCTCAGCAGAACTGCACCTGCCATAGAAGCACCCAGACTTCCCAACAGTTGAAGTAGTATTATATACAGGAACATAGACCCATCCAATGATATTGTAAAGATACAGCATAATTCAGCTCTTTCCTTAGTCTATTCCATCATGGGTCAGCCCAACTCTCAATAAAGATAATTAGAGTTTTGCTGTTGGCTTCACGGGAAGCGGAAACACAAAGCTATATTTGGCAGTCCCAGAAAATCTTCTAGTGGTTATGGTATCAGATATTCTGGAGTTCAAAAGAAGCTGTAGATTAAACCCCTTGACGTTGATCTCATACTCATGGATTTATAGGTTCTTTGTGCATCTATTACACTACATCCTCAATGTGAAAATCCTCATTACACAGTCAGTGGCTGTGAGTTGCAGTTTCTCAGGAATTAATAAAAGCACATTTTGCAAAATCTCAGACTGTGAAGCAGGCTACTAGGCTATATCCTACAATACACTGCCATCATGTGGTGCAATGTATCAATTACAGAATTCTCATAAAATAGCAATTGATCAGCCTTAATATCTTTTCATAGGAATTTCATGTCTTATTTGTATTAATCTTCCCATTCTTCTATTTTAATACTAAACTTTCCCCACTAAAAAGTAGTAGCACAATGTTATCTTCTTGTAAAGATTTTAAAATTGCAAAATTAGTCTATACTTTTAAATTTTGTTTTAAAATTTGACTAACTTCAATTTCTGGGTATAACTAAATTTAAATATCACATACACTTTGCTGAAATTTTAAGCATCGGCATAAGATTTATTCTTCATGAAAACTAAATTAGTGAATTCTGCAATTGTATATAGTAAGAATGTCTGAAAAAAACTAAAATACCCCACTGGATAATCAGAATAAATTAAAAATTACATTAATAACATTTCATAGTAAGTATTCTTAAGGCTCTGGCTACACTATGGGAGAAGTTTCTTCCTGACAATTAATCAAGACTGGTACTCCGTGTAATCCCTAGACAATTATTATACAAATGTCACATCCTGTGTTCTTCCTTGACTACAGGTTGGACCTCCCTGGTCCAGCACCCACAGGACCTGACCAGTCCTGGATGAAGATTTTGCTGGATCAGAAGAGGTCATTTCTGAACCCCTGCCGCTTTCCCCCTTGGCCTGCCCACTGGCCACCCAGCCAGCTCCCTACCTCCTGCTGGCCATGCCAACCCCCATTGCTGCCGTGGCTCCAGGACCCACCGTGTAGCTGTTCATGCTACGGCGAGGCTCCGGGACCCACAGAACAACCACACATGCCATGCTGGAACTCCAGATCCTGAATGGCAGCCGCATGCTGGGGCTCCAGGATCTGCCAGGCAGCCGCGCACCACAGCTTCTTGCCCTACTGAGTTACCGCAACTTCCAACCCTGCCAGGCAGCCTCACACCAGGACTCCTAATCCCTCTGGGCAGCCCCACTGCCATGCGCTGGATGGCCCCGCCATCAGCTCTTTGCGGGCAGCCCACTGCCCTGCCAATTCATGCTGCTGGCCCCCACTACCGGGATTCACCGGTCCTGCAACATCCTGCCGGACCCTGGGTGTTGCCGGACCAGAGAATCCCAGTTAAAAGAGTTTCAACCTAGCAGTGGATTCCACAAAGTAATTCCATTTTGTATTACAAAATGTTCTTGCTTTGGTTTTAAATGTGTTGCTTTCTATCCCTTGTTCTTGGATTATGAAAAAGAATACATAGGGATGCCTAGATAACCATCATTCATTATGATGCATATCAGTATTTGTATCAAATCACTGTTTAGTCATTTCCTATTAAATAATCATAATCTTTATAGTCTCTTTACATAGAAGTCCTTCAAAGTCTCTAAATTATTTTCATTACTCTTCTCTGGTCCTTTCCTATTTTTGCCATATCTGTACTGAGACAGAGTGGCTGAAAGAGATCACACTATTCTAGGAGAGGGCATATTATAGTTTCATATAATGCCACTGTATATTCTTTGCATTATTCTTTATTTCTTTTCAGATACCATTTAAGATTTTGTTTCCTATCCACAGCAATGCCCAAGGTTGAGATTCTGTGGTAAGCCTCTAAGAGACTCAACACAGAACTCAAAGCATGATTATGCAGCTGTGGGAACTAAGTTACTGCAAGCTTCCTAATACAGACCCATGCTGCCTCAAATCTCTGTTGTGCTGGGTGCCTTGACATTTTCCATCCCCTGTTTCACAGCATGTCAGGAACATCCCTGGGGGTAGTTTTACAACTAATCTACTCAGTGCTTTCTCTGGGGGAATCCTCACAGGGCTTGAACCAAAACTTTTTGAGGGTCCTTTATGCCACTCCAGCCCTTTTACAAGGTTGTAAAGGGGCTGAAGAGCTCACCCTGGTCTATTTTCCTGAGCAATTAATTACTAATCACTTTTGAAAATCTTGGTCTACCTTATTACAAACCTAACCCATGCTTACTATAGAGCTTACTCTTGCTTCCATGGGAACAAAACTCTATGCTTCATGCAAGAAAAATGTTGTAGGGTTAGTCCTCAGGCCCTTATACTTCCATAAAGATCAGATGGTCCTTCACAACAGATGTTGTAAGAAGATGCATTATACATTGTTAAGAAATTCCAGTGCCCCCAGACAGCATTAACATTCCACCATTAACAAATTATAAGCTCCCAAAAGTTTAGTACTTTTTTGAAGGAGTTATAAGAGACTTCTTTAATGTTGCCTTTGGGCAAATGCATAACAAATCATTAAAAATGAAAAGGAACCTTGTCTTTACATTTTAATTAATACTTTTAGTTACAAGGCTCTGTTTTATTAAATTAACAGACTTTTTAATGTTAAAGCACTACTTTGCAAGGGAACAAATACTATCTTACTAGTCAAGACTGCTTTCCTAACATCCGCGAAAATTGTTTGTTCTACTAAAAATTGCAAAACAATACTTGAAGTCACTCAGTGCTTCAGTCAAAAATGACGATATAGAGGTGAATTTCAAGCAATTGATATATATAAAATGTTTACATTCATTAGAGAAAACCATAAGGACTTGGCTATAAGTCCAGTTTCATTTGATTTTAGTGACATTTGCAATTCGTAAACTGAATTTGCTTTCAATCTCTTATTCATTTGTTTAACTGTATACTCCCATAATAAGTAGGCTTAATGCTCATGAAGAACTTTTCTACATAGGGTGTCTTTCAAAACTTCTACCAATTTTCTCCTTTGGAGAGGTGATATTTCCAACCTTCAATATTTCCAACCTATCAGATTACTCTAGAGAAGCTCGGTGTTCGGCATACTATTTTTCACAATTGTCCTTTCATTTTCAAGGGCATTCAAAATCCCAATCTAGTTTGAATGAGATACAGCAGAAGCACAAATTCCACTGCAGGATTTTCAATTAAACTTACTCATGTCGGGTTCTTTTCAGGCCTCAGGCACCACAGATATCCAGATTTTTGCCACTGATTACAGTAAGTGTAGGACTGGGCCCCATGACTCTGTACAAAGGTAAGAAACTTAGCTACTCTTTCATCAAGATGACC